CTCTCTCGCGAGTTTGGTGGTGGCGTCCGCGGTTCATCCATGAAGGGCCTGGTCGAAGCCCGTTGCAAGTCGAGAGCATAAGGCTGTCATCGAGCGATCCTTGGTTAAATTATGGCAATCCTCCCAACTAGCCGACTGAGTCGTTGCACCTCTAGACTGAGCACCTGTGTCGTCTTTCGTGTATTCCATGCCACCCACCGGAATTTGCCCCCGAGATGTTGGCTAAGAGCACACGGACCTGATGAATTCTCACATGTCAACGACGCTCATCTTCACGGATGGCCGGGAAAAAAAAAATCGACTGCCCGTGCTGCACCCCAAAAGCCATGATGAATGAAGAAGGTTGGATATCCACTCGCCGGCAGTCAAACTCATTCTAGCTAGAGTCTTAGACTAGGCCATCGTACGGATGAGGATCCCGGAGCGACTTCAGGGCCAGGCACGCATACGGGCCTCTCCAATAGTCTCGAGGCTAGCTTCTTCCATCGATGACAGATGCGTTAGGTAGATATCCATAAATCAGACCCACGGTGAAGAAGCACTGGCGTCGTCATCTGCAAAACTCTCAGCTGGTGGAATTTGACCGATGTGTTGTACAAGCCAGGGCGGAGTGAGGGAGAGGCTTTGCTTTTGCGGATTTTCACTTTTGCTACGTCTATTTTATCACATTTTCTTGGATCTAAGAGCGTGTTTACCACTATAAACGGCTACTCTCTATATATTAATAGAATCAATATGACTAAATGACTACACTCTGTTAGAAGTTTGTTACCTAATGGCCCGAGGCTAGGTCTTTTTCACTCTCTAATTATCAATCGGAAGCACCGAAGCCAAGACTTGGCTCCCTCCCTCGCCTTTATGCTGCGTGCTTAGTTGTGCTTGTTGGAAACAACGGGGGCGTAGAAGCTGAACTTGCCCTCTGGATCATACTTCTTCTTCAGGGTCTTTAGGCGACACTGCCTCCAGTTCTCGTCTCCGTAAATCTCCTGCTGTGTCTCGTCACCAAACGAGTAGTTGATATAAGTGCGCAGAACATCTCTGCCGGTAGCCTCGTGAAGAATGCTGCGGAGCTTGTTTCCAGATTTGGTAGCCTGCTCATCCAATGCTGAGCCATTGGGCGTGTAGGAGAGGAGGGGGGCAGCGAGAATGCTCTCAGAGCGGAAGGCGAAGGCGCTGGAGGCAGCGTTGATGTCCTGGACGCCCTGGACAGCGTAGCTCTCGAACATGAAGAGAGATCCATTGAAGGCAGAGGAGCCGCTGGTAACCTCAGCGAATGCCTCGTAGACCTTCTTCTGGGCAGCAACGTTGTAAGAATCGAGGTAGATAGGGAATCGGGGGTTGTTGGTGCCAAGATCAAGGCAGGGCTGAGAATCCATGGCGATATTGGTCCATTTTGCTAGGTCGCGGTATGTGCCAGTCTGGGGAGTGGCGACGATAGGACCGATGTCGTAGAATGCCTGGGAGTAGGCAGAGTCGACGGCATTGACACCTTCCTGGATCAGGTAGAAAATGATAACAGGCTGCATAAGGCACGAAGCTGGTTAGAAAATGCAAAGTGGGATCAAAAGGGAACCAGATGAGCGTCTACTTACGTTGACAGGGTCAAGATCCGAGCTGCGAAGCCAGTATGACCAGTTGTGGACGTCGGTAGCCTGCTTTCCATTCTTGGGCAGGAACTTGTTGGCGGCCTCGTAAACGGCCTCAACTTTGTCGCCGCTGAAAATGAAGGTGACAATGGACCAGTTGGTGTGTTGGATGTCGTAGATCCTGGAGGTGAGTGAAGTGACAATGCCGAAGTTGTGGCCGGCACCCTTCATCCCCCACCAGAGATCCGAGTTTTCGTCAATGGTCTGGATGCTACCATCGGCGAGCACGACATTCATCGAGAGGAACTGATCAGCGAGGAGGCCGTGGTGGCCCTGAAGCCAGCCGTGGCCACCACCCAGAGCAGGGCCAAGGTAACTGACACATTCACAGGTGCCAGTGACGGTTTGCTTGCCAGCGGCCCAGAGAGTGTCGGTAACCACCTTAGAGTTGATTCCTCCCCCGACAGTGACGGACTTGCCGTCAGTGGCAATCTGTATGCTGTTGAGCTGCTTCAAGAAGATCTCGATGCCATAGCTCATGCTTCCCAGGGTGGTGGTGGCACCATGGTGACCATTGTATGCGAGGAAGGGGATGTTCTGCTTGTTGGCGAACTTGATCTGACCAATTGAGCATGCACGTTAGTCCTGCTGGGTGGCAAAGGGGTAGTGACTGGGAGAGTGAGAGATCCTACCGTCTCAGAAACATCCTGCTCTGTTCCAGGCACAACAACCACATTCACAGTGGGAGGGTGCAAGTTGGACCAGCGGACGGAAGCCTCGACGAATTCCGTCGAGCCGGGGAAGTAGATCTTGGCTATGGGAGAGAGCTTGTCTTGCAGCTGCTGCATCTCTTCCATTGATCGGGGGCAGATCTGACTGGCAACATTGTGGATGGCGGGGATGGAGAGTGCTGCAGCACTCCAAGCCCAGACCGACAAAGCGGTAATGAACTCCTTGGTGAATCCTCGCATCTTGACTTTGGTAGGAAACGGGGAGAACTAAACAAATGTGCTCGGTCAGAATGTCAACACTTGCATTCCAGTGATGCAATGCCTGGATGAGAGGTGTAAACACAGGAAGGAGGCAACAATAAGACTAGCCACTTTTCCCAATAGCGCCGTTATAGCTAATATGATGGTCAGCCTTCTCGCAGGTCAGTGGCATACATGGTACATGATGTGTGTCCAGGACCAGGAGGGAGAAGGCCCAGGCATCTCCTAGTCCCGTCGTCTCCGAGGATGAGACATTAGAACTGGGCTGATTTTGGGACGCTGTACTTGACAATTTACCACTAGCTTACTTGGCTTAGACTCAAGCGTAGGCTTTCGCATAGTCCCGTAGAGCAGGAGAAGCAAGCTTGTGAGCAGTGTGCTGTCCTGGATACTTTTGTTCAGCTGAAGTGGAGGAGGCTAAAATAGCACTGCGGCGAGGGATGTTGGCTAACAAGGAGGGTCTCACGAGTCTCCGCCTGGCCAAGACGGCGTACACGGATGGACTTGCTCGTCGCAGCGTGTAACTCGTCGAGCCTATCAGCTCGGGGTTGCTCTAGGCGCTGGGCGAGGAATGGCTGATCCCCCGGGTTCGGAAACTGTGTAAGATGAAGGCAGAATTTGCTCATTAGACCAATTTTCTAAATGGTTTAGTTCAATGCGCCCGAGCAGCTGCATGAAGGTAGATGCACGCATGGGGATCCGTCCACGCAAGAGCCCACCAATTCGTCGACTCGTGTGCGTCTCCAGGACTTCCCTCCCCGTGCCCTTGCTTTCCCACTCAAGTAGGTGACTAGCAAGTGCCCCCTGCTTGAACCACCTTTCCATTGGGGTATAGCTGTCAGTGTCGTTGCCGAGCACGACCTTGAGCCATATCTGTCAGCTAGCAGTAGCCCCCGAAGATCGTGTTACGTAGTAGCGGGAAAGTGCCGACGGGGTTTGCTAGTCAGGCCTCTTACTATTGACGCACTTCGGGTTCTCGGGAGTTCAGGGCCGGGCGGCTGTTTGTCAACTCAGTTCCTGATCGCCGCTCGTCTCCATCATCATCCCTCCAGGGTGGCGGCGGGAGATCACCACCACCGGAGGATCGCCATCCATCAATGCCCATTAGCTGGTATATCTAAACAGAATCATGACTTTGGAGGTGTTGAATATGGTTGTGTAACTTCCAGTATACCGGAGTCTGGCCTCCTAAATGAATTGATTGAGTGCCGGCACCCATGACCTCTACGAGTAGCCAAGCAGGCGAGGAGCAAACGATATGAGTGCCTCCTGTCTCCCCGGAACGACAAAAATGGCAGAGAAGGTAGGCCCTTGCATGTCACCCTTTGATACCCTTGGAGAGGGTGGAGTGACGAGGAGATGTACGCCGCATCTGGCCAGTTCCTAGCGGCCTGAATCTGATCTATGTGGACCGCGGTGGCCCACCTCGCACCAGAGTTTTCCACAGCTTGTGAAAGACCTTTTGAAATTTTCTCTCCTTTCCATTCGCCTTTTCGGGGAAGTTCAGCCCCGTATCTGTTTGCATGTGCTCAGGCGAGATGTGGTGAGTGGGCAGAAGGACATCTTGCTCCCGCCATCAAAGCTGGAGCATGGAAAAAACTGCATTTTTTAGTTTGATGTGGTTAGAGGTAGAACCAGAAACTTGGAGAGACATTATCTAACTCTCTCAAGGCTGGGAATGTCGGTATCAGCCTCGACAACATTTCTGTCGACAAGGTAAATATAATAATGTCGACCTCGGCTAGGCTCCAGGTGCATATCGACCAGATATCAAACATTGAAAGATCGGCCAAGATCAGCCAGGACTCTTTGGCATCAAAACCACACAGCTTTTCATGTTTTATCATATTCCGATGAAGCAGGCGGCAGGCTAGAGCGGCCCTTGCAGACCACTGCATCGCTTTTCCCTGCATGTCCGGTTGCAAAGGCTGCAGTGAAGCTCTGATCTCCCTTCTCGGTCCATCATTGCCCTTACATGAAAGCGCACCCTCGTCAGATTTTGATCTACCACCGTCAAATCGCACCCGAATCACATATGAAAGGAATTTGATGCTTTCCCGATGATAGAACCAACCTCGTGAGGTTTTCTGCGCAGTCAATTTTGAAATTGCCCTCTAAACATAAGGCGATTTAATCAGTAGCCTGGAGGCGAGCTATGCGACGACAACTTGTAGCACAAGGTTCAATTCCAATCACCATCGACTTACATAAAGGCGCCTTGTTGATCAAAGCACCAAGATCCAGTTACACATACAGACGCAGGCACTTTGAAAGTTACTGATTATATCATTATGCTCATGTTTCTGTATTTTTTTTATCTTTCTAATCTCTCTAGAAGCTATGTATGTCTCCGTATATAAATACGCAAAGGAGCCGACTAATTGTTCTCTATTTTAGGATATTTTCTGCAAGACTTGGGCAATCAGATGACGTTCTTGAGAGCTTGGCCGGCCAAGAATCTTCTCAGGTTGTAGGTAATCAGAGCCTCGGCGTCCTGGGGCCTGCCGCCAGCAGCATGAGGCGAGACGACAACGTTGGGGGCCTTCCAGAGGCGGCTGCTCTCCGGGAGAGGCTCGGTCTGGAACACGTCGAGGGCGGCGCCGCCAATCTCGTTCTTCTCCAGAGCATCCACGAGGGCATCCTCGTCGATGGAGGTACCGCGACCGACGTTGATGACCCAGGCGTGGTTGGGGAGCAGCTTGAGACGCTCGGCGTTAAGAGCGTTCTTGGTGGAGTCGGAGCCGGGCAGGATCATGACAAGAGCGTCAGTCTCGGGCAGCAGCTTGGCGAGGTGGTCCTCGGAGTAGACCTCGACGCCGTCACGGACGCCGGTGGAGCGGGCAACGCCCTTGACCTGGGCGCCGAGGACGGTAAGACTAGGCACGAGGCACTTGGCAATGTTGCCGAAACCCCAGACAAGGACACGGGCATCGCGCAGGGTGGTGAAGCGGTCCTTGGGGCGGTCGGGCTGGGGGCCGCCCAGGTGAGCGGGCCACTTGTTCTGGAGCTGGAAGTCACGCATCTCGTAGAAACGGCGAGCACCGTTGAGGAGCAGGCCGAGGGCGTGCTCGGCGACGGTGCGGTCGTGGAGACCGGAGCCAGTGGTGACTGTGACCTTGGAGGTGTCGAAGCCGGCGCCGAGGACGTCATTGGGGCCGGCGGCCAGGGACTGGATCCAGCGCAGGTTCTTGAGGTTGGCCTGGGCGTAGCGAAGGTTGTCGGGGGTGTTGGTCCATGTGACGAGGATGGTGGCATCGTGGTGCTCAGCAGGAATCTGGGGAGCCTTGACGTCGTAGGGGACGAGCTGGACGGAGTAACCCTCGAGGGAGGCTACGTCGAGGACGAGCGAGGTGGGATAGAGAAGCTTCGTCATGTTGGCGGCTGTGATGATTGATCGTTTTGTGGTTTTGGATATGATGGTGTGGAGGGGCAATTGGGGAGCGCTGGTTCCAATGCCGCTGGTCGTATTACGAAGAAGATGGAAGGGACGAAGGGAAGAATATGAAGGAGAAGCAGGGAAGGAAAGAAGAGCAGGTCTACATGACGCAAAGCAGCGACGAGATGGGTTTATGAGGCGAGATGTCGGCATTTGTGGGGGAGGGGGAGGGGCATCCGTCTCGGGGTTAAACGCTGCGATGCCGAGTTCGGGGCTGGAGGAGTGGACGATTTAATGTTAGCTTGCAATGAGTAGTGGGTGGGCAGTTGGCATCGCCGAAAAACAAAAAGAGCACGACGGATGGCGGATCGAGAGTGGAGGAGTGGAGGCGAGGAGCGCACCAGGAGGCTGGAGAGAGACGAAGGAGGAGCCAAAAGGGAAGCCAGCGGGGGGGAGGTCCGAGTAGAGGAGCTCCTCTGGGCTGGAGTTTGGCGGCCAGTGGACTGCTTTAGGGGCCAGCCGCCCAGTAAGGTGCCTGAGCGGAGCGCTGTGGTTGCCCGTCGGCATTGAAAAGGGAAACGCTCGGCGACGAAAGCCCTACTGAGCCATTCCCTGAGCCGCGAGCCTGTGTCTGCTTGTGATTGCCTGTGGCGGGCTTCCTGCTCAATTGCTCTATCTACCTACTTAGGTAGGAGACGATCCGTCGAAGGTGCTCGATTGAGTCGGATCGAGGCCAGCTGATATACCGTCCCGGCCAGCCTCGTCTGGGTGCGTGTCGAGAGCAGCCGTCAGACGCCGATAACAGCCTGCTCCTCCTCCGCAGCGGGGTTGGAGAGGGAGGGCACAGTTATCCGGCACATTGGAGCGGTGCGGAATTGGTGGGAATTTCTCCGGGACAGGACCGGCTTAAAATGGCAAACTTCGGAGAATGGGTGGACAGACAGACCTGGGCAGGGTTCCTGATCTGCAAATCCGCCGATGTCAACGACTGCGATCTCGGGATGTCACTGCATCCTTGTCCGATCACGCAACGCGCCCGCCCAGTCTCAACATCCAGACGCGGTGCATCACGAATGAAGGACTGGCTGCACCTGGACCAAGTCACATGATGTTTCATCCAACACAAGAGACGTCTACCCACCATCCTATTTAGCTCTATTCTCGAATCTTTCTACCTCCAAGGACTCTTCAAGTGCCGTCCTCACGCCAAGACACGGAGCCCAGCCTAGTATGCCCTCCTCCATGAAGAGATCGTCGCGTTCCTCGCATCCAGGTCCATCCCATGACTACTGCAATACGAGAATCTGGCCGGGTCAGCATTCCACGAGCATCCGACGAGTTTCGATCCGATTGGGCCCTCCCGCAGCTTCATCATGCTCATTTTTGCTCTTTCACGCCACCAAGCGACCTCAGCTCCTGCACGCATCTCACCCCGCGCGGGGGAGGGGGACCAGGGAGGGGCCGCTACGGTCTCGGCAGCCTCACCACAACCCAACACGAGGGATCTGCAACACGGGCTCGACGTTTACTGGGCAGCCCTATCGCAAAGTTCTCATTTCCGGTGCTTCGTATCTGACCGTGCTTATAGCCTATTCCCCTTCCTGCTATTCTGTGACGAAATTGATTTTTTGCATCTGCCGGCTTGTAGACTTGTCAGCTGAGCTGATGACGAGAGGAATGCATGCTGAGAGGCGCTTGCAGCTTACTGCGTGATGTCCTTCATGCAGCATCGTCAATACCGTAGAGAGGAGAGAGTGAAAAGTATATAAGTGAGGGTTTATGGCGTGATTTGCTCCGAGGCAAACCAATATCCCAGGCTCGTACACAAGTCAAACCATCAATCACCAGGTCCTGGAACAGTGATATCTTATCAATCATTCTAAAACAGAACCACCAGAATTATTCTTCTCACAAATCATCATGATGAAGCTCTCCCTCTTCTTCATCAGCCTCTCGCTCACCAGCGTCCTTGCTCTTCCCTCCCTCGAAACCCGTAGCGCACCAGTCCAAGTCGCCCACTTGACCTTCCACGCCGGCCCGGCATCCTATGAGCTTGCCGTCCCTGCTGACGGCACCGAGGTCTTCACCAGTATGGCCGCTTTTCTTCAGTCATCCTGTTTGCATTTTAGTTGTTCGTTGCGTTAACTCGATACACAATAGATAGTGATCTCTCTGTGAGCATCATCGATGCCCCGGACTACAACGCCGGCACTCAGTGTTTCTTCAAGACCGATGGTGAGAAAACCATTGTGCACAGCATTGACACATCAGACGGGAGCCAGCATCTTATCATCGGCCCTCCCCAACCCGTCCGAAGTGTAACCTGCCAGGGCATATGCGTGCCAACATACGGTTAGTTTCCCCCCTCACGTCCGCGGGGTGTAAAACCTGAAGGAGCTGGGGGAATAAAAAGAAACTCGTGACATTAGAGCTGTGCTGACCTGTCTGTGTAATAGGGGAATGTTATGGATCAGATGGACAGTACATTGGGCCATGCTGCAATGGCTTCTGCGCTGCTACACGCTGCCGGCCATGGAACATTGGAAACTAGGCGGTCCAACTTCTTTCATCGGTATCACTAATGGACAAGTATCGCTCTGGTATCAATCACTGAAACTTTTCCCAAAGAGTACTTATATTAAATTCACAAGTTCAATCTAAGCCGTTACCCTCAGCCTGTTATCCGTTATTCCACCCAGTGAAGGTGCCTGTTCATAATCTCATAATACATTCAGGTTTTTAAAACATGTACCTTTCAAGGCAACTCCAGTCATGATTCACGACGAAACAGATGTAAATGTCTTCCTTACTCACGTGTATGCTTCCGTAGCCCAAAAAAAATAAAAAATCAGATGCCGAATGAAAAAGTCATAGCAGGTCATAGAATTGAGATGAGTTGCAAGTCTACCCAGCGCGTGCATGTAATTTCAAAATTCTCAAAAAATCTCCGTATTGTTGTTTTTGGAACTGAAGTGGCTTCATATATTAGTGCCTGCCACCACCCCCATCACCCTGTTTCTGAGCAATGATGCCATCAACCAAGGCGGCACTCAGAGCTGCTGTAGCAACCTTGGCACCTTTCGGTCCCATCCACGGGCCTTGCTCATCCTTGTTCCGGAGCGCAGCCTGTGCGCCGGCCGTGAAGGCATAACGAGCGCCAGCTTGTAGCATGGGGTTCTGCCACCATGGGTTTCCCTTATTCTTTGGGCTTGCTGGTACTGACTTTCGCCGGCTGGTAGGGGCTTCTCTAGAACGGGAAGGGCCGTGCTCTGCCGGACGGCCGCGCGGAGCAGACCTCTCAAAGTCGTAGTTGGGTCTCTCATGAGAACGAGCTCTCCGAGGAGATGGTGCGCCGTAGTGGTCATCGTAGTCTCTATAGTGGCCGCCCTTTGACCTCGGCATAGGAGGCTCGTGTCGCCGTGGTCTTGGTTCGGGGGATGGGGAGGGTCTTCGGTGATGTCTGGATGACCGTGGCTCAGGCTCAGCCCGGTATTTCTTAGATCGGCGGTCGGACTTCCGATCTTGAGAATAGCCTGGAGCAGGATAGGTATCGTATGGCTCTCTTGTTGGAGGTGGCATGGAATTTCTCTCATGCCGACGAGAGCGGCGTTCTTGGTCTCTATCCTCGTCACGGCGGCGGGGACGTTCGGTTTCCCGTGAATAGGAAGGGCTGGTTGGGTCATGTGCTGAGCGCTTCTTGCCATAATAAGGGTCGGACACTATCTCAGGGCGGTCCGGACCAGGATCTCTTCGGCTCCGACGCCGAGATGGTTTCTCGTAGGCATCATCGTAAGCATCCGCGGGAGCCCGGCGATGTTCAGACTTGTGGCGTCTCGAGGGGCGCCCCAGGTCATCACGATGGCGATGAGAGCGCGGGGGAGAATCTGAGTCATAGGCTTTGCTGTCACCGTAGTACTGGCGAGGGTCATAGTAGCCGTCTGCAAGACCCCCACTGGGAGGGTAGTCTCTCCCGGATCGATATGGTGCAGACATTGGCTGGGGTGGTCGGTATTGTTTGTAAGGCGTAGTAGTATTATGCGTCTTGGCGTTGAGGTGTGTGGTATTTATTGCTGGCCAAGGTTACCTGAATGAGCACAAGCTTGGAGGGCCAGTGGTGGTAGTAGCTGGTGAAGATGGAGAAGAAAAAGAAAATAGCAAAGAGGCGGGATGTGCGGTCCGTCCCTAGGCGTCAATGATATATATGAATTTGTGGAAGAGGGAGGCAGCCAAGCAAGGGTATGCTGGAAGGAGGAGCGCAATTGCGAGGATAGGCTTGGTTCAAGGGGAAGAGAGGAGAGGATGTGTTTTAAGGTCTTGGCGGGAAAAAGCAAGAGGGATGGATGGAAGAAGAACAATGGCGGAGACGTCTTGTTGGCAGAAATAGAGACATGGCTTGAATGAATGCATCATGATGGTGGCCAGGGCATGCGAGACACGGCCCAGGCCAGGCAAGTGCCGATGCAGGCGGGCTCAGGTGCTGCAGCTGCGCATTCAGGGTCCAGCTTCCCCAAGCCAAAAGGCAGGAAAGTGGCTCGTGACGTCAACACGGGCCAATGGCGGGGGGCGGCCGTGTTCCAGACGCCACTTTTCGACGTACGTGGTGACCACTGAACCAGCGGTCCGGTGAGAACGAAGGAGCGACCTGGTTAGCTGACGTCAATGAGAGAGGGGCTGCAGTCTGGACGTGGGACGGGACATGCACGTCGTTGTCATTTTCCACATTTTCCAGATGACCTCTACTCTGCTGCGCTGTTTCATGCCGCCAGCTGCCCACGTTGCCAAGCTGCCAGGCAGTATGTGTACCACAGCGGCTGCCTCGCCCAGTCGCAGACCGCCTACCTGAGCCAGCCCCGGTTTCCTGCTTGCGCCTTTTGCGACCACCCACACATCATCATCGGTGGGTTGGTTGGGAGCCCCATCCGTCATCGAAATCGGGGGTTCCAGGAGCTGTCGGTTCCATTCCTGTCCATTGCTCTCAGCCAAACACGACACCGAAT